AAACTGCGCTGGATTTCTGCGCTCTCTCGTCCTCATCCTGAAATTGACTTCAGTGCTGCACAGGGTAAGTGTCATTTCCAATCCAAAAAGAAGTTGTGCCATTAAAAAGTTGTGCAATGTCCCGTTTGTTTAAATATTTTACATCTACTCCCTCACAGACATTCCACAGATGCAATGCATCAGAGCTTTTGTCGCCCAGCAGCCTGATGAGCTCAGCTTGGAAAAAGCAGATGTTCTGTTGGTTCACCAGCAGAGCAGTGACGGTGAGGAAGTGACTGTAGTATCTTAACAACAGTGTGTAAAAGTGAACATTACCACAGGGCCTCCGGGAAGTGCATTATTCATCAACAGTGAGCATAATCCTACAGGATAATCGGTTCAATCGAAGAAAAAACTTTTGAAGTGTCACTGTCAGAACAAAACCTTCATTGTTTTTTTATTTCTTGAAATGTTTTGAAAACACCTTTGTGTGAAAGTTTTGGGATGAATGGACCAATACAAATGGTCCACAATTGTAAAATCTATTTACATTACCATGCATTAAAGGTTAAGAAAGTTTTTTCTTTCTCCTGAAAATGTATCATTTTGGAGATACACTTTGCAGCACTCTGCTTCATGTTCAACAAAGTGTCTTTCTTTTGGTTTTCACTAAATATTTATTGATGTTTTTCTTTTCCAAACCATTGTTAAAAGCATATTGGCTCAAAAGTGGTTTTAAACAACTGAAAGGTTTGAGTGCTTAAGTCCTGGTATCACAAGACAGGGATAAAATGCACAAGGTTTAGTATTATTACCAAAATTGGACACAAATACTGCCACAAATATCTATGTGATAGATACTCTCAATAAATCTGATCACAAACTGAAAACAAAACGTTCAGTTGTATTAAACATTTCAAAACCTTTCCAAGCACTGTAGGATTACTAATGGTTTTGTCTATACCGGTTTGTGCAGGCTGGGTGGAGGGAACTCGTTTATCAGACAGACATCGCGGATGGGCCCCCGAGTCTCATCTGGAAACAATACACAGTGAAAAAGCTCGACAGCGCAACCTGGCGGACACACTGAAGATTACAGCTGCAACAGCCACAGTGTGAAGCGTCTGCAGACTGCACACTTGGAATAGTACTGTACTTGTGCTTGTCTCAGCTCAAAAGAGTCAAGAGTCTACAGAAGAGTCATGATAAGTCATGCGAGCAGCTTTTGGTGCACTTGAATAGTGCATAATGTTTCTGCTTTTAAACTGGTCTCTTGGGATCCTTCTAAGCTTTATGCTATTCAGAAATCACTGGAGTGTAACCCTGCACATGGCCTATTTTATGGATTTGGACTATTATCCTAGGGAACAGCTATAAATACATGCAAGAACCACAAGAGGTAAATGGTTAATGGTTGACTGCCTCCTTTTTAAGAGGATTATATAGATTATATGCATTACACATACTTCTGTGCCTCTTGAGCCTCAGTAGCAGAGCAGAACAGTAATTAAAGTTAACACAGTACAAATATGTCTATGGTGACCAGTATGAAAAGGACATGGATTGTAGTTTTATCTGTTTTGCTTGTACGTAACGTTTTATACTGGTGAGGTATTTAGGGAGATATATGGTGCCTTGTGTTCATGTGTTCATCTGGAGTAAAAATATCAGCACAACATCCTCCTTATGCTGAGACAGACAGCATTGATATGCCATAAAAATAAAACAGCTGCTATATCTCAAAACAGGCCTGGGACGCTTTCTGAACAGTGCTGAATGGTTAGGACACATGTTTTATATGACATGGTGAGTGATGGGCAAGTCATTTATTGTAAAAGAGCCTTTATCTCAGTCTTCAGTAACTGTAATGCAGTGTCATGATATGGAATTAGGTGTAGTGAGAGACTGTTCAGAGTTCCAGTCTCCTTACACATCTCTGGCCTGTAGTCACCTGACTGAACTGAAAAGAACCAGATGAATAAATATCCACTACGCTGTCTTTTAAGAGGGGAATAAACTACATGATTTCACTCCCAGTGGTACCCCCAGTTACTATCTGTTATAATAACATGCCATTATTTGCAAAATTATGATTGACATAGTTATCAGCCAGTCAGAATCAACTCTTAATGATACAGTGCTGTGAAAAAGTATCTGCCCCTCACCCGATTTCTTCTATTTTTGCTAATTTGTCACAATTAAATGTTACAGATCATCCAACTAGTTTTAATATAAAATAAAGACAACACGAGTAAACACAAAATGCAGCTTTTGAATTATCATTCCATTTATTGAAGAAAAAGATTTATTTAAAACCTATTTCACCCTTGTGAAAAAGTAATTGCCCCCCTAAACCTAATAACTGGTTGTGCCACCTCTGGCAGGAACAACTTCAATCGAACGTTTGCAGTAACTTGCGATGAGTCTTTTACATCGCTGTGGAGGAATTTTGGCCCACTCTTTTTTGCAGAACTTTTTTAAATTCAGCTACATTGGAGGGTTTTTGAGCATGAACATTTACGGTCTTCTCACAGTATCTCAATGGATTCAAGTCAGGACTTTGACTCGACCACTCCAAAACCTTAATCTTGTCTCTTTTGAGCCATTCAGAGGTGGACTTGTTTGTGTGCTTCGGATCATTGTCCTGCTGCATAACCCAACTGCGCTTGAGCTTTAGTTCACATACTGACGAGCAGATATTCTCCTTCAGGATTTTTTGAATAGAGAGCAGAATTCATGGTTCCATCAGTTAAGACAAGTCGTCCTGGTTCTGCAGAAGCAAATCAGCCCCAGACCATCACACTACCATGTTTGACTGTTGGTATGATTTTCTTATGGTGGAATGTGGTATTAGCTTTATGCCAGATATAACAGGACCCCTGTCCTCCAAAAACTTTGACTCATTAGTCCAAAGAATATTATCCCAAAAGCCTTGGGGGTCATCTAGATGTTTTTTTGGCAAATGAGACGAGCCTTTGTGTTCTTTTTGGTCAGCAGTGGTCTGTGCCTTGCAACTCTCCATGGATGCCATTTTTTTCTTTCTTTTTGTGGATTTGTGTACACTGACCTTAACTGAGACAAATGAAGCCTTTCTGGGTTCTTTTGTGACCTCCTAGATAAGTTGTCAATGCGCTCTTGGTGAAATTTTCTTTGAAAGCTTCACCACTGTTCCAAGCTTTAACCATTTGTGGATAATGGCTCTCACTGTGGTTTGCTGGAGTCCCAGAGCCTTAGCAATGGCTTTGCAACCCATTCCAGACTGGTAGGTTTCAGTGAGTTTGCTTTGCATCTGTATTTGAATCTCCTTACGTGGCATCATGTACGGCTTTTTGAGACGTTCTACCCTGCTTCACATTGTCAGACAGGTTCTGTTTAAGTGATGCTTAAATTCAACAGGTCTGGCAGTAATCATGCCTGGGTGTGGCTAGTGGAGTTGAACCCAGCAGTCAACTGAATTTGGTTAATTGGTTGATTTAGTAGCTAAGGGCACAATTACTTTTTCACATAGGGCCAGGTAGGGCTAAACAGCATTTCTCCTTCAATAAATAAAATCATTTAAAAACAGCATTTTGTGTGTGCTTGGGTTGTCTTTGTCTGACATTAAAAGTAATATGATGATATGAAATATTCAAGTAAGACAAATATGCAAAAATAGTGGGAAGGGGCAAATACTTTTTCACAGCACTGTATGCCCTCTGTCAAACGAAGGAAAAACTCTGACAAAACTCCTCAGAATAAACCTGCAGTGAGAACGGCAGTGCCAGAATACTAGTGAGAAAAATTAGGTGAAGAATGGTGGAAAAGTATTACTGAGGAACTTGTAATGCCGAACATGTAGAGGTGGGCAATGTGGCAAAAATTTAAATCATGATACTTTAAGAGGTTTTCATGATACATATTATTTCATATTACATATTTTTTCTGACATCCAATAAACTGGAAAAGACAAAGTAGTGCCATGTTTAAAAAATACTATCAAAATACAAATAATAATGATTTATATTCAGCCTTTAAAATTCTGCAATGCACTACATGCTATAAAACAGGACTATTTATGCTCTCTTTGTAATCAAACATGCAGTTGGGAAGTGTTTTAAGTACTGACGATTTCCACAATATGCTCAGAAAAGCATATTTTAACATGCTGTGATGTAATTTATCACAATAATGATAAATACAGTCATATTGCCCAATCCTACTGACATGCTGTCCTGATTCTCTGTAGGGTGGTGTTTTTAACCCAAAAAACACACATCTCCAGCAAAACTAGCAATAGGTAAGCTAAACTTTATCAGGGTTACTGTATTTGCGAAAATCATTAAAATATGATGTGTAACGATAAATATAGTTACAGAAAAATGTTCATCTTTTCTAACGTAGCTGCTGACTGTTAGCTTGATAAATAATCAGATTAAACAGGACTGTACAGCACTCACATTTATGATTAAAACTCTGTAAAGTGTAAAGATTAATATGAATATTCATTAAAGTTTGTTAAAAGACCTTGTGCAAAAGATGAGTCCTCTTGCGCCTCTAACATTTTTCTGACTAGCTCCAGCATTAGCTCATCCGAAGGTCTAGCTTCCGTTGCTAAAACCTCCTCCAAATTAGACATGAAAATGAAAATATATGTAATATGTAAATATTTCAGATGTACTTTACTGTGCCCTGCTAGAAAAACCAGCACAGACCAGCATGGATGGTCACCAGCAAATTCAACATATGTTGTTTTTTGGATGCTAGTATGCTGGTCAGCAGCAATGGAAGTTGATATGTTGGTCACCACCAAAGCCAGCTTATGGTTTTGTTGCTGGCATGCTGGTCAACCAGCATGACCATGGTGGGTGATCAGCTAAACCAGAACCAGACCGGCACTTGACTGGAATAAACTGGCACAGATCACCATGAAATGCTAGTTTGTGCTGTTTTTTCAGCAGGGTGTGGGAGGGGGATTTTGCAATCCTTAAGGAATGCTTTTGAATTAGGAACAAAGGAGAAAGGAAGAGTCCGCATAAACAGGATTCAATAAGAAATCAATCGCTTTAGTGTCATTTATAATAAGACAATCAACAGGACATATTTTTCTCTTTCAGCATGACAAAAACAGCATTGAATAAATGGTTTCTTGGCTATTCTCAACTTTTCAGATAAAACTTGGAGATTAAAAAAACAAGTTGCAGAAAAAAACACTACAGCCATCAATCTTCACAGAGTTACAAGATAAAACTAGACTGTACTTGGAACGTCTACAGAAAATGATTGGTTCCTGAGGCGAAACGGAAATCTACAACGGCCCCAACCCGTAATCGATGGTAGTGGACATCAAGATGGCATCAGAGGTTCAAGCAAAATACACTGTCTGATGAAGAGAATGACTATGAGGTGACGAGTGCTGTTACTCTGCTAACTTCTGACTTTCTCCTGAACTCTGGAAAGTCAGAGTAGACATGAGTAGTCTGCTCTACAACCATACACACACACACACACACACACACACACACACACACACATACTGAGCAAGGTCATATGATCTGCGCACAAACAAACACATCTGAACTATGCTATACTATAGTTGTACCATTAGTGGCTGCTCACGCATAAAGCCTGTTACCAACTGCATTTCCACTATGGTCTTTTCTCATGCTCAACAGTCAGTGGTGTCTAACAAGAGACAGATCATGACTCAGGGAGTTACATGCACTAACACAACCATAATTCAGCCTTGAGGAGGTCAGGCCAAACAGGCCTAAAGAAATGGGTGCCTTATGTTGGCTTACGTTAGCACAGTGTCAAACCGTGTATGCACTGGTCCCCAGCACACCTCATACATTACTCTCAGGCTACGAGAGAACAGTTCAGCAGTCAGCTAAGTGCTGAGAGAAATGAACAACCAACACATACTTACAGACAACAACACACACTGGCCTTCTGGAATGGAGTTAAGAACCCCTGATACAGTACTTCAGTACTTCAAAACAACACGTGACACCATAGAGCTCATTACACACAGGACTGATGTCAAAGACTGAAATATGCTCACAAATACAAGTGAGACAGTCTCTACCGAAATGGCCATCCAGTGAGCATTCTTGAGGAAGCCCAGCTTTTTTCAGCTCTATGTGAGTGCGCATTGCAGTGAAGAACAGAGGTAATACAGTATGCTGCAACAGCAGGCTTGTTTAGAGTACACCTGATCTGAACAGTAGAACGGAGAGGTTGCGAGAGTGGAAATGTGATCTAGGGTACATTAAAATACAGTGAGGGATTCTATGATACAGAAGGACAGAAGTAGCTTGTTCTCATCCAATTACCGCCCATCTGCTCCTTTTAACCTATGGGAGAAGGAGATGAAAGGACACATTTATTAGACGTGGGAGAAAAATAATTGATACATAGTAGTATATTTTATTATCAATATAGTGTCTGCAAAAGAGTGTCTTAAGCTCAAAGACTCTACAATTCATGTTTATCAACTGTTTAAGGGTTTTCCATTCACCTATTTTAAGCAGTTTTTGAGAAAGCACATAAAAATGGGATCGAAAAGCCATACATTACATTTGAAATAATCACAAAAAAAAATAGTAAAATATCACAAAAAAAAAAGTTTTTACACTTGGATGAAACATTGATGGCTATAGATTTTTCAAATAATTGATCCCATAAAATCAATGTAATCCAGACATAGTGGTGATGATTTTATGGCATCACCACTATGGCTGGACTACGTTTCCACGGGTTCGGTAGGTGGCAGCGAAGTGGGACAGTGCCTTCAAACCTCATTAAATGTGTACTGCCCACTCCCTCCAAGCAGAATGAGCAAGACTCTTGTCTAACATGACATTATCTACACAAATTTGCAATAGTGGTCACTAATTCACTTCAAATTCACGAAATGCTTAAATCAAAACCCCGCTGACTGACAGGAACGAAGGGGAACCTAATTAAAATGTACTCTGACACACTGAGTTGGATAAGCATGAGAGCATGCTTGGTATAAACAAACTCAATAAAACTCATGACTGTGTGCGAGTATGCACTGTACCTATAAGAGATTGGCAGCAGTAGGTTGTTCTTTTTCAGTGCTTGCACTTTGCTGAGCGTTTGAGGGTCCAGGGCAATATAGCAGCGCCGGGCGTAATCCAAGAGCTTCTCTTTGGATGGATCAAACTCGCCCACCTCTGCCAGCTTCTCTGGTGCCACCAGGAGTAACTCTGCAATTGGAGTAGTGGATGCCACTGTGTTGCGGTCCACACCATGGATCTGGAAGGCCTTGGACATGTTCTTTAGTCGCTGGTATGTGACTAGGATCTTCTTATAGCGGAAAAGCACACCGGCAGCATCTTTCACTGTGAACAGAAAGGGCACTATAAGAGACTGACGGCAGCTGTTTAAGCCTGGTTTAAGAAGAAAGACATTCTACAATTTGCAGAGTCCCAGTTATAGCACATGGTTGCAGTATCTAGCTAACTTTGTTTTTGTGTATTTTAATCCTGCTTGTGGAAAACCACTTCCTTGCACAGTCTCAACGATTCCCTGGACTTACACATCTGTTATCAGTTTATTAGTTGATGAACTGGATCAGGTATGTTGAGGCAGGGAATATTTTAAATTGTGCAGCAGGGCAGTGAGTACCCAGGAGCAGGATTAAGAAACACTGAACTATAGTTATATAACTTGTAACTTATGTAACTCCCCATCTCAACCCAGTTTATTTATTCCGTTCTCAATCCCCACCCATAAGGCAAAAGAGTTATGAATAATAAAACATTTAGATTAGCAGAACACACCTCAAAGCTGTAATTCAATGTGAACTGGTCTCACCTCTCTGCCTCTCTCTTCCTCGAGCTATTCTGAAGACCCTCCTCCTCTTCAGGGCAGGGTGGCCAGCACTGGATCTCCCAGAAGCACCCATATTCTGCAGAGTTATGTTTTCTGTCATCACATCCCCTCCCGACATCATTTCCTCCTCTTCCAAGTAGCTGTCCTCCAAAAAGTCCTCCTCCTCTCCCAAAAGTGAGAGGGACTCTGAGGAGGGAGGGAACACTTTACATCAGCCTCCCACTCTAAACATCACAAGAGTCAGATGGCCAGAGAATTTTAATGATACAGCATGCACAAGGTAAAAACTGCTTCATTTACATGTAACACATACACACAAAATAACCATTAAAAGTGTGTTTTCACCAGAAATAACAAAAGAATAGATACATTATCAATTATTTCTCACTCGTAGCTCACTGAGAGAAATTCTGTTGGGTTGTGGATTCCTAAACTTTTAATCTATACCACATTAATGCTCATAGAAGAAAGAAGGAGAAAGTTATTAGTTTAAAAGTTTCATTTTGAAGAAGTCATTGTGTATACAGCCTTGCAGAGAGAAAAATATCAATATATCAATATACAAAAATATACAATTTTTATCTTTTTTTTAATCAAATACAAATGAACCACACACGTCAATGGAGAATGTAAACCAAACGTGAATGTAATTAAATATAGAACTAACCAAATAAATGATATGTAATTATGTTATTACATTTGGATGAAGTAGTCAAGCGATAATCCTTATTTGTTTAAGGTCTGGGATGATAATTATATATATATATATATATATATATATAGAGAGAGAGAGAGAGAGAGAGAGAGAGAGAAAGACAGAGAGAGAGAGAGAGATAGCAAAAAAAAATTCACTTGTTTAACTAATTTAGTTTATATGAGTTAAATGAAGGTTTGAAAGTGCAGGTGTCAAACTCATTTTTTTAAGACAACAGTGGGAAAATGTCCATGTAGAACTACATGTAGAACCAAGGATAACATACAAGCCATTCCCAAGTGAGCAAATACACACATATACACACCCACACACCTTGCAAGTCATTCATGGGTCTGTTGTTATTACTGCTGCTACTGCTACTTCCACCACCATGGCCCTGTAGGAGGGGCTGAGAGTGGGAGGGGCCAAACAGGGAACTCATCTGAGCACTGACTGGTCCGGAGCCAGAGCTCATGACCTTGGTATTGGTTGGGGGCTGCTGGGCAGGCCGCTGAGAGAATGACTGACGGCTGGCTGAATGCTGAACCTCTGCTTGCTGATCTTAAAAGTTAATAATTAAAAAAAACTGTTAATACTGGTGATCATTACAATATTGTCCCTACTTAGAATAACAAAGCATGGACTTTGACCGGTTAATCTACATTAACAGTGTCATCTACTTGCAACCTGAATTCACCAGATCAACTGAATCCATCACAGGATACAGAGTCTACTTTGGGTTCTTTTTTCAAGCACATACCTGATTAACTAGGTTTATCCTCTTAAAATCCCAGCCTTATAACATTCTATTTTTTATTCAGTAACTACAGGGTCTACAATTAAAGCCTAAGTTACATATATGTGAAATAAAGGTTTGGTCCAGCCAGATGGTCCAGGAACCAGAAAGCAGAAGTATTTAATTCCCCAAAATTTCCCACATAAAAAACGACTGCATGAAATGGTTATGAATATTCTGCCTAATGCCTGAGACATTGTTTCACATTACTTCAGCAATAAGGCTTTTCCTTAGAACATATTTTTTTAAATATATCCACAGTGGAGAGGTAAATGCAAGTGTTGTGGAGCAAAATAATCCCCAAAGAAAAATATTTTACTCTGATTTAGTACTTTTTTACATTACCAACATTACATATAAAACCTCAGAAAACACTTATAGGCTCCATGGTCATTTTGGATAGTAAATAAAATGGCTTTATTTGTACTATAGACATTATGACCCCTGATTCCTATCACCAACATGGTAAAGAAATCATAGTCAGTAAGTTTCTCTACAATGTACGATTTCACATCAAAACACTCAGAATAACTGTTTACATCTCAACAACTGAATTCTGGAGAAATTTTGAAAAATCAGTGGAATTCCCCTTTAACTGTGAGTTGAAGGTACAGTGTAACATGTTGTGCCAGTGGTGTTTCTAAAACAAGAGCATGAGATTTTTTACCATGTTCATTGTCTCGTCGCCTCCTCCACGAAAAACTGCGAGAATCATTACCTAAACAAACACATAAATAAATAAGTAAATAACAGACTTCTGTTCCCCTCAATAACAACTGTGCACAAACACACAAAATACTACACATATATATACATATTCCATACACCAGGGGTGCCAACACACCTGACTCTAATATTCAGAAGCCCCAAAAGGCCTAGATTTACTAAATCAGGTATTAGATCTGAGTTGATCACATGAGGCAGGGTAGGGCACCCCTGCCATCTACCAATGTCTGTAAAACATTTCATTTTTCTTGTTTTATAAAAGAGGCTTATTATTCTGTCTTCTTCTACTGTCATGCTCTCTTTCATTTCCTCTCTCAGCTCTATCTCTGTCTCACCATTGCTCTCCTGACTCTTGGTGGAGAATATGAAGCGGTCGAGTTGACAGCGCAGAAAGTCTCTTTCCTCCTCCAGGTCTTCAATGCGTTTCTGCAGCCATGAGTTCTTCTCCAGGGAGATCTGCAGCTGGGTGCGCAGGTTTGTGATCAGCAAGTAGGAGCTTGCAGGAGCTGGAGGATCATTACCTGTGTTGGATGTAAAGACAACCACATGTTTACATCCATACATCCAGCAAAACTAATGTTATATCCAGGCAACAGAAGACAGCAATCAAAACAAATACTTTATGCACTTCCTCACAAGCTGACAAACTGATGTAAACTTTACATGTGCAATATAAACCTGGTAAAAATGAGCCAATTTTGAGCTGTACATACTGCATAATGCTTAGTCAAATATAACATATTAATGACGATTTGCAACAGTTTGACAGCCTATTCATTACGTCTGAGTATTTATACGATGCAACTGGCCACATCTAGACTGCGAGGGAATCACAGTGAAGCTGTTCTCTTGCAGGTCAACACGTAACATAGCAGCCAGTCAGGTATACACTTGGTCTTATCCCCTTAGCACTATGCACTTAACACACTGTGGCAGTTACAAATGGTTGGTACCCTAGGTAAAACAATTTGCCTTGGTGTAAAATCGCCTTGCTTTGCAGTTTCTGATTGAATGTATAGAACTGTAGATGTAGAATGCTGTAAAGTATGATATGCTCAGACTGACCTTCGAAGCTCTGTTCACTATGGTTGTAAAAGCCACCCTGCTGCTCATAGTTGTTCTCTTCAAAAGGAATGGAGATCTCATATGCATCCTCATTTTTGGGGGCTTTGGAGAGCAAAGCACATTATAGAAAGCTGGCAAATTTCCATCTCACAAAAAGCTTTTGCTATAAACGTAGATTTATAACACACATATAACAGTTTATTAAAGTTTGATTATATGAAATTATTAACCTTCATAGACACTGCATACACAAACAGGGAGGGTACATGAGAGACAGTGTTATCAAATTGGCACCAAAGCATAACAACAACCACAAAAATAAACTTACTTTGCAACTCCTGCGAACTAGAATGCTTCCTAGTGGCTGTTTCTGCCTCGTTCATATTGCCTTGATCCCGTGTGTTTCAGGCTTATTTCACATAAAGAAAAAAGTCAGGATTTAAAATAAAATTGCTTGTGGAAATAAGCAGCGTATCACTATAGTTAATCATAACCATGCAGCTAAACTTTTTTTACACGACTGCAACTGTGACAAGTGTGAAGTAGACGAAGTGTAGCTCCTCTAAGTGAGCTGTCAGCGGCTGCTGTCTTTTCACATTAGCTTAGCCCTAAGTCCAGTGACTGCAGATATCATTAGCACAAAACTTAGCAAGTCGGCAAAAACGACCCAAAACATAACACTAAAAGGGACAGATAGCTACCGTCCACACCGAAAAAACACTCATATATTACTAGCTGTGTAGTATTTTGTACTGAATCCTCTATGTAATATTCAGCTAGCTAGTTGTCACCCATGAAAAACAGAGCCATTAACGTAGCTCGGGGATGCTCTGCTCCGTTTTCATAACTCAGAGGAAAATGGTAAACGTTAGCTGGCCAAATCCAGCAGCAGCAGCAGTCAGGTTAGCTGTTGTCGTTAATGCAGCCTTTCTGCCTTCATAACACTCAGACATCGTGCACAAACCGTTCGGCGGTCCTGAGCTCCTCCGTCTTCGCACATAAAACAGTTTTCAATGTTTTTCTGTACGATTGTGTATTTGCTAATGAGCTGCCTGCTAACAATAACAATTAAATGTCTTTCCTCAGCACAGTCGTCACCCACCATAAAAAATGACGTACTTCCGGTGTGGTGCCGAATTCCGACTCCCCGGCAGAATCCGAATCCCCTTCGCGTGCACGCGCGTCAGGCAGGTATACGGACCTTAAAGATTACACTCGCGATTTCGGTTGTTTGTATGTATAAATAACGGTTTAATCTTTCATTTTCCTTCATAGCAAACAGCACAGCAGGACCTACAGCCGAACACAGAGTTTCACACTGTGTTTAATTCAACACCAGAACAGAACCTACAGCCGAACACAGAGTCTCACAGTGAGTTTAATTTAACACCAGAGCAGGACCTACAGCCGAACACAGACCCAGTTAGCAAAAATTATCTGGCCCACTTGGGGGCAAAATCCTTCGTTTTGTTCTGGCCCATTTCTGGCTGGGTCCCCGGCCCAGATCTGGCCCATATACTGCAAAATGAGACGAACTAATGGATGTGGCCCAGCTCTGGCCCACACTGTAAAGTAAGTAGAACTAAGGGATCTGGCTCAGCTCTGGCCCATATACTGTAAAGTGTGTAAGTTTAGCGGCTGTGGTCCAGATCTGGCCCACACACTGCAAACTGAGTATATTTAAAAGGTGTGGCCCAGATCTGGCTCATATATGACACACAGTTATGGCTAAGTACGCACCTTGTTCCCAGTCCCAGATGTGGCCCTGAGTATGCAACACTCATTTATTGCAGAACATGCAAAATATGAATAATATAGTAATTATTATTCTATATAATAATATATAATAATACTTCTTATTAATCAGTACATTTTATAATGAAAACTCCATTGTGTTTTTGGTAAATAAATGAAAACAGTACAGGAATAAACGAAAAAGGCTTAATCTCTGTGATAGGTCATTGTCTGCAGTCTTTGTGTGTACATCTTTAAAGACGTGCAGTTGGCCATTCGCAGACCATATGCCTTTGGTCAAAGAGTGCTATGTTTTCACTTGAATAAATACATTTTTCACAATATTTCTGCAAACATTTTAAACCATGGTGAAAAAAGTCTTGAGTGAAGTGGAGAGTCCACTGAAATACAGACTAAATCTGACATCTTTGAAGCACTGTTCAAGTGGGTTTAACGTTAGCAGAAGCTAACGATAGCTAACTGCTCTGAACAAAAGGAGTAAGTTAACATTAGTCATGACGAATTGGCAATGAAGGGTAACGTAACCAAACCCTGAACTGATAGCCATTTCGTTAATTTAGCTAGCCTGTGCTTTTGAAGGGTTAAGCCATAATGGCATTGTTAGCTACATTTATAACTTTTCATTTTACATACTGGAACTTTATAATTTGAAATAGTTAATCTCACTGAACTCACAGATTACGAATCATGTTACTGTAGGTAAAAGTGCTTTTTAAAGTGAATTACTTGATGCCCTCCTTCAGTTATTTTCACTTCAAACTAGCTCCTGGCTTGGCCATTTTAAAATGATGAACTTAAGCAGGAAGGTTGGTTTAATGAAGGTTTTAACCCAGGTTAAACCAGACTTGGGCCGAAAGAACTGAGGACATTCAGTTTTAAGACAATGTTGTCTAGAACTCGAACAGCTAACTTATTAAAAGGAAGTTAGGAATTAAAATATTTTCTCTCAGAGAGCAGCGAGCTGTGAGGAGGAGTTGAGGCGCAGGGCGCGCCAGAAAGTTCGCGTGCGCGTGCCCGTCGCACGATCTCGCGCTCAGCTGTAAATGAATGTGTATTGAATCTTATTGTGTCCAGTGAAAAAAGCTGCAGCGTTTATTCAGTTTAACATTGATTTTACTGATGGTCTTCTTCATTCTTTCCTTCCTTCTTTCATTCTTTTCTTTTTCTTTTTATGTCTTTTTTCCTTTCATTCTCTCCTTCTTCCTTTCATCTTTTCCTCTTTCATTTCATCCTTTCCTTTTTTTTTCATTCTTTCTTTTTTTCTTCCTCTCATTCTTTCCTTTCTCCATTTGGCTGAGTAACACACACACATATGATAATTCTAATAATATTACTACTACTACTACTACTACTACTACTACTAATAATAATAATAATAATTTGTTTAGATTTGCTTAGTTGCTCACTGCTGGACTCACATTTAGCTAGATAAACAACCAAAAGTTGATATATTTTTAATGTGGGCTGTTATTCTTGCATTTTTTAAGTAGACCCTATTTTGTCCAGCTCTAATAAAATTGACATGAACTTTCACTCTCGTTCGGCCGTTCATTTTTTATTTTTTGAGTAATTAATAATTATTCAGTTACTTAATAATAATTAATTAATTCATTACTTCTGTTTGAGCTGCTGAAGCATTTCTGAATGAGGGTTTTATTTCGTACATAAGGGTTACAATAAGGGTTCAAATTTCATATACACTGTGTAAGGTAAGCTCCACCAATCAGACCACTGTGACGTCACAATGCACCGAAATGCACCTAACATGCTCGAAGTGCTACACCCCCGATGCCGTCACAGCAGAAATGCCAGACTCCTTGTGACGTCACAATGGCCGAAGCCCGAAATCCCGAACTCGGTGCTTTTTGTTTCATTTCAAGTTTGACGCTTGAGCTGTTCGCGTTTGCTTCACAAGCTTCATTTAAACCAACTGATCAAGAATCATGAATGAACGGAGGAAGAAGGAGAAGAAGGAGAAGAAGGAGAAGGGCCAAGTGGTGGTCAGCCTGCTGCGCATGGTTCTCCTCCTGAGCTGCTACAGAGGTCGCGCTTCAGAACGTGAGGAGGACTGCAGTAGAACCCTGCACGAGCCAAACCGGACTTCAGGGATGCTGAAACTCAAAAAGGAATCAAAGAAATCGCTCTTCAAGAGAGCCCTTGGACTGTTCAGCAAATCAGGAGCTGGAAAAAAAGGACAGAATGAAAAAGGAAAGGACGTTACTAGACGAAGTGAGGACACTGGTGTACAAATTCAGTTGTGGGATGAGAAAGGAAAGGAAGTTGCTGGACAAAATGACAACACAGGTGTAAAAACTCTGGTTACTGAACCCAGTTCCTCTCTACACAGCCAGACATCCACTAATGGTCACAAGAGGGCGCCCATAAGCTCTGTCAAAAATGGAATGGAAAAACGTAGGAAAGTAACTTTCACAGCTGACCTGCACTCCATTCCCGGACCATCTAACACCAACGACCTTTCACGACAGGGCCAGTTTGTTGGAGTAAACTAGAAGCCTTGTGGAGAAGCTGAATAGGACACAGAGGCTCCCCTTCAGTGGTGGAAGAGAACAGAGCTGGAACAAAGGGATGAACCCAGCCGTCACTCCTGACCTGCAGGAACCGAGACCTGGACCGTCCCACCTCAGAGATCTGCCCGCCAGAACAATCACTCTTCGTACCAAGACAGAAGCCTCTGGTAGCGAGGAGCTGACCAAAGAGCGTCTTGCAACTGTTCCTCAGTCTTTTTGTTTTATTCTTTTCCTCAGTTTATGTTTATCTTCTGTATTATATCCTTTCTAAACTGAACCTTTTATAAGAACACACCTGTGCAGGAACAGAGTTCTACAATGCAGGTATGTACAACTTATCCATTCTAGAACACAAGTTCACACAGGTTAGCACACCACCATTCTAGAGCACAAGCAGACTCAACACAAAATCTTTTTTCTTTAGCTTTACTCTAGTTTTTAAATGTCTTGTTTAAATTGATATCTTATGAATATTTATTTATTTATTTAGGACACAAGTGCTGGCAGGAGGAAGACCACCAACCATCTCCCAGTTCCACCAAATGGGCATCTTGTTTTTCAGTACATTTATTTGACTTTTTTTCTCAGTTTATTTCGTCATTTCTAACCTTAAACCTTAAATAAAGAACATGCCTGTGCAGTGAGAGTTTTGATTACTTTTGCTAAAAACTTTTGCTGCTTTGGCGTACTATGTAGTATGGACGTCTGCCATTTCAGACGCAGCCATTCTGTCCACTCTTATATACAGTCTATACTTCGCTTTGCGTCATGCCTAAGAATACCCTTCCCCGTGATACAATCTCAGTAATGCTTGGCCTCTCCCCAACTAACAGAGAACATCACCAAAACATTCAGAAACATTTTTAAAAGGTTCCAAGAACATTAGACTGTAACATCACAGAAATAATGATCCTGTAACCTGTTGAAAACATGTGTTGTATTAATGATTTGCAACACAATGTTATTAGGACCTTCACAGTTAGACAAAAAATAACCTTATGGAAACGTTTAGAATATCGTTCCTACAATAAGAAATGAAAAACATGTACACCATTGTGGCCGTCCCCCGGGCCCAATGACGACTGCGAGAGCCGGCAGTAAGGCCGGGCCTGAACCCTGACCAAGGCGGTGGATAGAGCATTTATTTAAGCATTTATTTAAACATGTGCTATTGAGTATTTTACATTTATTCATTTACACTGAATATTAAAAAACATATCTTTAGAAGATGAATTTCCATGACTTATGAAATATGCACACCAAATGTAAAAACCCACTGCTTCCCCCAAACACAGAGACAAATTTATAGGTTCTGAAAAACATGTTCAATGACATCACCTAATTTGAGCGGGAAAGATGCTGTACTGTCCTGTCCCAGTCTGAGCAGGAGACTGGACATTCAACAGCTCAACAGCGGACAGTGAAAAAGGTCAGTGGGAAAGTAAAAGCCAATTTTCTTTAAGCAATTATAAGATATTTTGATCAAACTTGAAAGTTGTGTTTAGGTACTATGGAGCCTGCTGGTGACATCCAGTATAAATAAAAATAATGCTTTACTTACTAATTACTTAGTAAGGCGTGGGAACGATATAATTAAGCCATGGCGACAACTTAGTAAGCCCCGAAACAAGACCATGCCTTATTAAGCTGTGGTCGAGGCTTAATTATTTAATTCCCATGCCTTACTAAGATGTGGCCACGTGTTAGGATCTTGTTCTAATTAGCTATGTGATATCCTATTTGAGCATGTATGATTTATTTGTCAGCGTGTACATGTGTGCATGAGTGCGCGGGAGCGCGCGTGTTGGGTGTTCATGGTCAAGTAGCAGGAATCGGGATGAGCTTTGCTTACATTGAATCCATTAAGCCTACAGGCCACAGCCATATGACTGACTCAGTGTAATTAAAGCTTGCTTGTAATTGTGTAAAGCGGCTGTGAAACCAGTCTTACGAGTTCTTGAGAACTCGAGAGAGAGAGAGAGAGAGAGAGAGAGAGAGAGAGCTGGTAACAGGTACGCAGGTAAAGGTGGATCCGGAAAGAAGCTTGTTTTTAGAGGACGACAGAGCAGGTGAGTGGTCGATCGGCTGATATGATTTAACAGATTTATACTCGTGATATTGTTGAGAAATTGTCTGTAATACGCAAGTCGTAGTGGCTCGACTCTTTCTCTTTTTCTTTATTTGCTCTGAGTAGTAAATCTGGTGTGTTCACCGTCACTCATAAACTGATAGGCATAAATACTCAGGTCACGTGCAGTAATGTGTTAAGGGTCACTGAAGTGCCTTTCTTGTGGTCTCGACTCTGAGTCCTGCTCTTTGTCCACTGGCTTTGCTCAGGTCACCATGTCAGCTGAGAATGAAGGCTTGGCTCACTGTAAGTTCATCCTGATCTTTGCCGTCCTGATGGACCTGCTCGGGATCACCTCTGTCCTGATTGGGGTCTTTGCCCCGCTGGAGGTTAAAGGTCGTGATTTTGGTGACCTGCTGGTGTACTCCGGCGTGCTGCTGGTGCTGCTGTCCATGGCAGGCTGGGTCATGTGGTACAGCGGAAACATCGAGGGCTTGAGCTCAGCGAAGGAGCTGAGCGACCTCAAAGCGGGCGCTGTGGACCGTCTGGCTCGCTCGCTCAGTCAGCGCATCCGCAAGAGCCGCCGCAGTCACGCCACAGCCTGACCTCTGACCCCGCCCGACCACCGTCCATACAGCTCTTCAGACTGGCCAGCACACATTACAATAATCACTTGTCTTCAGGGACAGCATATCGTCGCTGTCCAAAATAAAAGTATCTATAAATGGTCAGTTTACAAGAGAAGGCAAAAAGGTTCCTAGTTTTACTGTAAGTCAATGTAATGATATTGTGTTGCCAAGTCATTTTGGACCAACTTTTTTTTGGACAGTGATGACATTGTTATTTTGTTTCACATTATTGGAGACATTTTGATTCATAATCATATGCTCAGAATTATCATTGCACCTTTCTCTAAAATGTTCTATTACTAGGTAAGATCTAGTATTATGACACTAATGAAAGACTGTGAACAAAGGCTTCTTTTCCTCTGACGCAAAACAAGCCCATCTACAGATAATGTAAAAATGCATTATCATGGTTTGTCATTACAATCACACTCTTGTGTGAGTGAAGAAACTATCCTCCTTGAATGTATTTGTTTCTCAATGGTATTATATTACACTGCAGACTAATAAATCTGTAATTTAAACCCCTGACATTTTAATAATGGACCTATCAAGTGCACTCCATGTTACATGAAATGTTAACGTTGTCCACGCTGCACTTAATCTGTAAATACTGTAAGAAAAAGCATGAGCAAAGACTGTTTACAAAAAATGTGGTGTACATAAAGGCACATTTCAGCAATCAAAAATGTCTGAGTCTCACTTTGTTAATATGACTTATATCTTTCATTGTTTGTGCTTAAAGTAAGAAAAAAACATTTTTGTTGAGATTCAGCTGACTGAAACTTAAAACATTTGAATCAAAATCTTTTTTATTAAAAATACTGCATATTTTCCAAACAAATCTCTCATCACATATTTTTTCTGTTCTTGTCAAACACTCACTGTTCACTCATTTGTGCTCAAATACTGCAAAATCTCATCACAGGCAAATCTCTCAAGAACAATCACTTCAGATTACAAAGACACCACAGACATACAGAATGTTTCCAGTTACAAAAATGAAACTGTGATCCACTTGAGATGTATTTTCCACATCTTCTACAGGCCTCGTCTAAATTGAACAGATTGTCAATCTGACAAGAATTTATTAATTTAGTGTGTCGACACAAACCTGCATGTTTCACTTTGCTGGCAAGGCAAATAGACGAAGTCTGAAATGATCTCAAATGACCTATGTTTACACAGATTCATCACAAAGGCTGCTGTGCTGAGCTTATATTAGCAGCTTCACTTTGGAGAGCAACATTTGACATCTCCACACTCACATTTACACGGACCAGAAATGTCAGATTCTGCCCAGAAGTTGTCAAAATGCCCCCCTTTGCAAGACAACACACAACAAACATACAAGCCTTGCCTTTTAAGAAAAGTAGAGGAACATATATGAGATGACATGGTATCAATAAATATAGCTTTCAAAACATGTAGTCTGGTGCAATTCAGAAATTAAAGAAAAAAAAAACAGACCTGGGTGGCATTTTGTAATGAATACAACAAAAACTTTCCAGTAGTGAGTCTGAGTCTTTAAACACAGAAAATAAAAGAAAACCAGGAACAAAACTGCACTGCAACATTTATAAGCAAAGATTAAGACACAGAGAAATCTGAAACACATTATCAATCCCTAACTGCCAAAAAAACAAATCAGATATTGGTTGTGGCTCAGTAAAATGTGGTCTTGTCTGCAATAATTTTTTCTTTCTTTCTTTGTCTTTTTCTCAAACATATACCATTGCTGAATTATCAACAATGAGTGCTAAGGATACCCAGTTAGTATAAATAATGCATGTGTCATGTGCATTTGCATTACTTATTACCAACTTTGGCTTTGTTAAAGGGCTTGACTTACAAAACGAGACAGGGCTACAGACAAAGGCGAAATGTGTAAAATGTGCACAAAAAGTACACAAACAAAAGTAAGAAGAGTTGAGACTGATAGCATAGCTTTAAATGGATCTGTTCTCAAAGGCAGGAACTAGGAACGGGGCGGGTCGGACTCTGCCAAATGATCATGTGACTTCGTTCCGACCGCAGTAGAACAGACTCGCCAGTTCCATCACTACCATCATCCCCTGTGAAAGTGGGAGAGAAAAAAAGTTGTTTCACACATGCATTTATCACTTGGAAACATGCTACTATCATCTTACCACTGTCAGACAGAAAACTAACTCAACCATTTCCAGTTTTTGTTTTTTTTACACAATTTTTTGTTGCTTTTTTCTTTTTTTGAAAACCCAGCTATCCTTTATATTGTGTGAACATTTCAGAATGAATGAATACTTAGAAGTTAAAATATTTTTTTCCTTTTTTTCCCAAAAAAAGCTATCACTCTGGAGATATAAGGTTTTCTTATAACTGCGATTATGTAGTTCAAATAGATGGACAGAGCCTGGACAAAATACAGAGTGAGTCAAAAAATCAGGGAGCACGTGCCAGGACTCGGCTAAATCCTTGTCTGGGCAACTGATTATGATGATGCATTAGAACAATGGGTTTATTTAACATATATGATAGCATTGTATTCCAGATTAGGCTATTTTTAATGTAGGGGCAATTCTTACAGTATAATGCCAGCATAGTACCAATTTGGTTGGAGGCAAGCCTATTTGTGCAATTTACTAGTTTGGTGTAATTATGTGGGTGGGATAGTGCAACACGGAGTGTGACGTTAAAAATCTGGTGGTGCCACCACCTCCTCAGATCTACTCTTAACGTAAACGCTAGTGCAAACGCTAATTTCCTGACTTCAAGCTTAGGTTTCCAATTACTCAGTGTGATATTTAGCCCACATAAATATAACTATATAACTTTCATAACAAACAAGGAAAAAAACTCTTTGGATAATTGGCACATCATTATTCATTGAACATTACATAATTGATGAAATCAATGGAATGTCTAACAACTAAAATCTGATCAACTAAGCCACATTCGAAACCGTTGTAAAATACTGTTTTTTTTTTCTTTTCATTCATCCACATGGGAGGAGAAATAAGGAAGACAAAACAGTCACACATTCAGGAGAGAATCAGAAAAATCTATCTGTGACCGTATCTTGGAAAGCATGACAACAGTGCAAGCAAGTGCAGTTTCATTATGATTCCTTTTTGCTGTTTGTCATCAGAGAAACATGTACAGAACTGTTTAGTAGGGCAGTTGGTGGGTGCAGTGACCCCCTGATGCCATGCTTGCACACTTCAACTGAATCCTGTATTAATGCACCAAGCTAGTTATTAAAACCCACAAATCCTTGGTAATATTGATATGCTTCCTGACAATTACAATCTAGGATAGTACAGTACTTTTTAAAAATTGTATTTTATCTGATTATATTTACTTTTTAATCATTTTTATTTAGTTAATTTCTTCCATTTTATGAGTATTTTTTAATATTGTTTTTATAAAAGTAATGAGTCATTTGAGACTTAAAATATCAGACATGCCTTCCTCTATTGATAAAATTAAAATGATTAGAATACTGGAATTCTTGGAAGGCAGTGACCTTCTGCCATTAGGAAAATCCCACTGTGCTTGTGAAATCAGTGCACGCATGGCTCTTATATGGTATAAGTTGATCTGACTGGCTGTCACTACAGCATACATAAACTACACCTTTTGATAATGTATTCGTACTAACGACAGCCCTGTGTGCAGGTGTGCTGCTTTGCACAGGGCTAGAGCCTTCGCTGCCAGTCACAACAATACTAAAAATGTATATGACTTGCACACATGCCAGCAGCACGACTTTGTGACTTTTTTGTCCATTCATGCTATGACTACGAAAACAGAGCCCTAGTGTGTGGTTCCTTTGATTCACCCTTGAATTGTGCGTTGTTCAGGGAGTGGTTGGTTTAAGCTAGAATTAGGTAATATACAGGATATCATTGCTTGAGCTTCACATTAGATGTAACACATTTAAACTAAACACAGTCATAAATAGACTGCATTGGGTTAGGCAAACGCTTCAGGTGACTCACCCAGACGGAAATGGATGTAGCCCTCTCCTCCACTGAGGATGAGATGAGAACTAGGAGCACCATCCACTGTGGAAGAGCAACTACGGCAGCCTTAAAAAAGACAAAAAGACAAAAAAACAAAAAAAAAATTATATATAATTATTTTGTGTTGAGAAGAAGAGATCATGCTGAGCTGACTCTATATGACAGAAAACTGATAAACTCCCTGCTGAAAAAAAAAAAAAATCTTCAGCTCACTGACCTGGAGCAGAGATGATGAATTTAACTGCTTGACGGTGCCCATGGAAAGACAACTGAGCGGAAGCCAGAGAGCAGTACGGGATGGAAGACTCTGAACCTGACAGAACAAAACATGCCAAAAAGAAGCAAAGAAAACATCAGGGATATTTTGATATTTAAGCAGATAACTTTGAGAACCACAGAAGAAATGAAACATTGAACTTAGAAGTTTGAAAGGATTGAAAAGAAATTTCCAATAACAAAAGTGGATTTAACAGCTCATTAACTTTTCAAATATAACTGTAAAGTTATTTTTTCCTTTCTTTTTTTGGCTCAGCTTTTTTCCTCACTGAAAAGTACTTCTAAAAATGTGACATAAATACATAATAAATCATAATAATAAAAATTATATATATATATATATATAATATATTATTATTATTATTATTATTACTACTACTACTACTACTACTACCACCTAATACTGTACTCACTGAGTGACAGTGGGACAGACAAAATGGCCCCACTCCCTGTGCCCACCCACAGCCGCCCACTGACCACAGACATGGCAGTGATCTGAAGAGGTGACATGGACAGGAATGCAGCACCTGAGAGAGAGAGAAAGAGAAGCAGAGAGACAATATTAATCTCTTCTGAGGCTCTGAGACACTGTGTCAAATGTATTTTGTGGAAGAAATGTTACTTTAGATGATTTGCATGTTATTTTGAACAGGAGATAGCAATGAAGTGTGATAAATGCATAAAGTTGAACTCGCCTAGAGCTTTAGTAATCATAGAGGACACATCGACCTCCTGTAGAGGGCGTCCAGTCGTCCAATCAAAAAGCCTGAGGGTAGAATCGAGACGACAGGAAGCCCAAACTCCACTTCCTGCTGCACACAGAAAGCGCACCTGCTGCTCACTCCGTTGCGACACTGTAAAGGACTTCTACATCGACAGAGAGAAAGAAAAAGAAGCAGAAAAGCGTGACACACAGGAAAAAAGCGTGTTGAGGTATACAAAGAAATCTATTTCGATGGCAAGTCTGTCAGCCCATACCTCCACTTTCCGATTCTGGACGTCAACCATGTAAACTTTATTCCAGTATCCCACCCACAGACAGCTGTGCTTTGCTAGGCAACAGCGAATGGGTTGCAAAGGGCCTGTACCCACTGAAAAGGCTTCATGTGACTGAAGATCCCATCCACCTATAAAAGTGAGAAACATTTAACCCACATTTAAAAGTATTCACTGCTGAAATGCACAAAAAAACAAGGAGCAAAAAATAAGGTTATACAATAAATGCAGTTAAATCAAACACACCTGAACGGTGACTGAAAAATGCAAGCATTCCATTGCCTAATCCAGCAATCACATGACCTGGTGAAAATCTATCAGAGAAAAGATTTTAAAAATAATTGTATGAGCTTTACAGATAAAATAAGGAAGAAAACAGAAATTAGCATGAAAACTCACGTGAGAGAATGCACACCCTCTGAGAGATTGGCAGACTGCAAACGTGTCCTAGAGGCAGAGGCTGAATGAACAAGCACACTGATGAAAGAAAAATGGAAAAATAAAGAAAAAAGTATTAAAACTTTACATTATACATAAATTAAAAGATCATTTTTGTGGTAAACACCACATTAAAAAAATGAAAACACATTCAATTTTCATACCTTCCATCCTGTGTTCCGATCCATACAGTGCCAGAAGTTTCCCCTGAAGCACACAATGTGTATGAAGCGGTTAAATGGACAGAGACAAAGACTTCCTACATCAAGTAGGATTTTGCCACAGAGTAAATTAATCCAGAATCAAGGCTTAATCCCTGTTTGGAAATCAGGCTCCAAACACAAATAATGCAAGTGAATGCTAAGATGAGCTGGAAACATACTATTGCTGTCGTAAGAAAATCTCTGAAGCAATAACTTTATACAACATTTAAGACTAAACACAATCAATTGACTTATAAGCTTAATTGCAAGTAAGGTTGGACCATTTCTATTAGTTCATTTGTCACGAAAAGGGGAAAATTTAAGAGGTTTTCTTAGGACAAAGACAATATGCAAAACTTCATTCCAGAAAAAGTTTGGACAGTATGTGGAAAGCTAAAATGAACAGAAAGCAGCAATTAGTAAATTCTGTTTGTCATGTATTACATTTAAAACAGGACAAAAACACAGTATTTATTAATTAATTAAATAATAAATAAATAAATAAATAAGCAAGCTCGTTCTAAATTTGATGCCTGTAACAAGTTCCAAAAAAGTTGGGGCAGAAGAATGTTTACAAAAATGTTTGTATCAAATCATTTTAACAACACTTAATAATGAATTAGGACTGAAGACACCAACTGATTTAGTTTTTTTGTTATACAAGTTTTCAGCTGTGTGACCCATGGGGCCTTTGTTGTTGCACATTGTGCTTCATAATACACCACAATGGGAAACAGTTCTGGACTGCAGTCTGGCCAGTCTAGCACCTGCACTCTCTGATTATACAACCATGCTGTTGTAACACATGTTCAAATAAGCATGGACATCCCAGACACTGCCGTTTGAACTTTATACTAGTAATAATTTCTATGGCCCTTTTCTTCTTTGGCCTGGAGAACACAACATCCACTGTTTCCACAAACAATCTGAAAGATTGACTTATCAGACCACAATACACGTTTCCACTTTGTTCCAGTCCATTTCAGATAAGCTCGAAGTTGGCGCTGTTTCCGAAAACTGTTGATAAATCACTTCTGCTGTGCATAGTACAGACTTAACTTTAATTTGTAGATGCAGTGATGAAGTGTTAATTGACAATGATATTCCCAAAGTCATATGGTATTTCGTTTGAATACAGGCCAAATGGATTTACAAATCACTCTTTCTGCTTTTATTTTGAATTTCACATACTGTTCCAACTCTTTTGGAATTCAGGTTCATATATATATGATGAAACGCTGCACACATACTATTAATTTTAAATCTCATTGCTCTACTTCTGTTATTTTGAAGCATGCGTCAATGTCTGAACTGACCAGTGGGAGGGACAGCACAAATGCACAGAGCCGGAGAGGTGGGCGGGAGGCTGAACTGGTCCAGGACGGTATTGGACCGTGCTGGGTCAATCACTGTGACGTCACTGCTGGAGGCAGGTCCAGTGATGGTCCAGACAGAACACTGAGATTGGGTGGGGCATGGAATGTGCATGAGAATGACTGACGGGTTGTGGCATGTAGAAAATGGTGTTCAGTTAAAGGTGGGGATTAAATCAAGGTGTGTTTTAGAAAAACTGACCCAGGATCAGGAATCATATGTATCAAATAAAGAAGCTGATTTATAATGACAGGGAGGAACTGATTCTAGATTTGTCTTTTGTATTCTTTGAGACTTTGTTCATGTAGGGTACAGGTACACAGTACTCTGCAAAAGTCTCAGGAAGCTATAAAAATTCTTTCAAACTATTTGTCTTGGTAGTAAAAACACTACTTAGCATTATAATTAAAACAAATCCAGTGAAATGAAAGAAGAGTGTTTTTTTAAGTTAATATCTTGGGTAAAAGAATACAGTAAGAAGTCGTCTGTGACTGCTTGGATTTGTTAATGAAGCACTGATCAGCTGTACTGCATGGTAACTGTAACACTGGACTTTCCTAAGGATAAGTTTGGAAATGGTTAAACTAACACATTCACACACATAAAATAACATATTACTTATTTGTTGATTTGTATTTCTATTAATGTTCATGTTTTATAATATAAAATTCTTACTGTTAAGATAAATAGTTAATATCAATTTCTCAGAAATTATCAGATACACAGTGAGCTGATCCAGTGTCAGTTTTTTTTTATTTGAGGCTTACGTTCTGTTCTCCTGAAACCTCTGGTGGCACAGCTACAGCACAGGTCAGCTACAGAAAAGAAAGAAAAGAAGAAAAATAAAAAGCAAAATTTAATTCATCCATTAAGTGCTAGGGCTAAGAGCTATTTTCTTATCCATGGGAAAGACTAAAAGGTGTGTGTTCCCAGTTAGTGGTTGCTGGTGAGGACATCAAGGACACTGTCATTACTTATTTCTAAAATGTAAGCCACAGGAATGGACTGACCACAGTGTACTGACTAATAAAGTTAGTTCTGAATGGTCAGTCACCCTATGATCAACACATTCATATAATTATATTGTTTGTACCAAAGATAATGTTTGGTAAGACCTTTTCATTTAACTATGTAGTTATTTGCTAGAGAATTAATAACACATTAGCTCAGTGTTTGTTGCTGGTAAACACACGCCAGGTGGTCAACAGGGCCACACCATTGCATTTAAACATTTAAAAGAACACACAATGTTCTAGTCTTCATTAACTAAAATAATAAAATAATTATTTTCAGCCAAGTAATGCCTTCACGCACAAATGTTTACCTCTCATTGACCGACTGTAATATCAAGGCTTTTTATCTCTGAGCAACACATGGTGACTAGCTGCTACTTGTGCTTTAGCAGTTCAGCAGTAGCTTTGTAAGCAACTTGATATTGCTTACCAAGCCATTATTGAGTGCATTATACTATATTACCAAGCTGATGCAGTGTGTTGGCATGATGCTGATTTGTTAGGTTACTTAGACTCTTACTTCTTTACTCACTCATAGCAAGTCCCATTTAAATATAAAGCTTTCATCAGTATTATAATAAATGTTAACTCCTGAAACAGTCTCCATTTTAGCATTCTCTTACTTTGAGGAAGCAATATGAAGGAACAGCAGGTTTTAACATGGAAGTCCCTGATCTTCATGAAATATCTCCAATGATATCAAGTAACAGATACATACAAAGAGCAGTTGTGGAAACTGAGCAGCAGGGAACCTGACCTTAGCAGAAGCATCTCTTTGGTCAAGCATTCTCAACTGTGTGAAGACAGGTACGTCTTTAGGCTCCAAATGCGGCTCTGCATTCTGGTGCGCGCACACACACACACACACACACACACACACACACACACACACACACACACACAAAATAAAAAAAGACAAAGTGTTGGACTAAAAACAGAAAACGTACAACCAAATGAATCAGGCAAGAGAGTGATCTGCAACAGTGAAGTTACATGCAGGGCTTAAAGAAAAGAACATTTCTGTGGCTGAAATGTGTTCGGGGTTTAGCAAAAACAATAGTGAGAAGGGGAAGGCTCACAAAACACAAAAATAAATTAACTGAATATGAACATGTTGATAAACAAAATAAACAAACAAACAATAACAAGTTGTGCAAAACGAATAAGGTATGGTGGTTGTATCCCAGTCCAAGCGCACCTTTCAAATCTATGAAAAATTTCCTGTACACCCATCCTTCAAACTTGTCATCACTCTTTTCTCCATTTGCCTCTAAACAGCGTTTGCAGCATACTGTTGTCAAACAACTGTCAAATTAGTTCAAAATGAACACATAAAAAAATAAAACGAACAGCCTATTAATTGCAGTGCTTTTTTCAAAGTAGCACATGCTCATGCCTTAATAAACAGACACTTAACTCAGCCACAGTGTAAACAAAGGTTTTTTATAAAGGTAGGTTTACTTTATTAATACAATACAATACATTCATATTCAGCCATATTCTTGCACGACAGGTAAAAAAACATACAGGAATATGTTCCATACTCATATAATTAGGCAATAAGCCAAGAGAGGCCGTTTTATCATCTACAATTTTATCATGGGGAAGGGGGTTCTTAGGCACGATGCAAAGCGGAGTAGAATTCGGTTGGCCATCAGTGTTGTGGTCATTTCATGAACTTTTAAATTTTACATCATATAATAATGAACATAACATAGCACTGTTTAATGCAAAAAGCTTCACTGTGTAAGAACTTTTTGGTCACAAAATTACCACTGCAAGTCTTATTTAGCACCAAGCTAACATCCCTTTTCCCAAGCTGGGGCTGAATCTCAAATGGCTCCCTGCTCCCTATATACTGCACTACAAAGAAATTTAAATACTGGCTCCTGCTCCCTAACAGTGCATAATACAGCTCACAAACAACAATTTGGGATTCAGCCACATCCATACTTGAAAAATAGTGCCCTATTTTGCTGTAGAAGCTCCAGCCCCAACCTGGCACTGGAATTCCGGTACAGTTCCGGAGAACTTTCAGCCCTGTAAATGTAAGTGTGAACCATACGTGTGCAGGTGAGAAATGCGGGTTTGCAAGTACACGCATACCTGTGAATTTGTGTGTGACAGCGGCATGCTCCAGCCATTCATTTGCCGTGTGCCCAGAGTTCCCCACACATGAGTGCGGATCTCCCGGTACAGCTCCTTCCTCCTCAGCCTGGGAGACAGCGAACCCCTGACGAGGAGAGCACACATCACTGTAGTGTGTAGTCTAAAGATTCGTTAACCTGGTGAGGTTCAGTAGTGTAAACTGTAAGGGATTTTATTCAAGGATTTGCACAGGTGTGTCAAGTACAAGTATCTGTGTAATTTCCGCAAATTAGCACAGATAGCCTGCACTGAAATGTCAAAGCCTGTTGGACATGTCAGCATTTTGCAACAGGTGCAAAACTCAATAACAATAACATGGCACACAGCAGATTCCATTATTACTTTACCAAATGGATTTAAACAATTACTGTTACTACAGAAACTTAGATTTACTAAAGGTAATTAATTCTGGAACTTATTACTGTCAGACAAAAACTCTGAACATTGCAGACTGGTAGCAGAGAATATGTGAGGAGCGGAGCAGCAGAAATTTCCACCTCTTGCAGAGTTTTCTGTAATGATTCTGTTTCACTCCTCTTACTCACATATAAAAAAAAACTGTTCCATATTCACTCCATATGATGCATTTTGTGATAACACTTTTATATCTAACATATGGACAAAACACTATGCATTTGCCTTCATCAGTTATATGATTCTTGGGCATTATGAAATGAAAAACTATTTAAACATTCTCTGCTACACAGGCATTTTTCAGAAGGCACAGGCTTGTAACAATTGCACAATCACAGTCAAAAAAAACTGAACAGGGTAAACAAATGCACAAGCTTTTAATACAATCTACTTTACTTTTTCCCTATTCATGAGACAATTTGTGTAAAAGTCTAAAACTTTGCTGCAGTTGGTGAGAATTTCCTGTATAGTCCCACTGTACCGCTTGGCAGTGCCAACTCTGTGTATGAATGGCCACCGCTTACATACCCTGATTGGTGCTGGATTCAAACTGTGGACCCAGTCAGTAATCACTTAAAAGCACAGAACCTTCCCACATAAAACTAATCCAGCTAAAAAGGGCTTAATTTAAAATCCGATGGACAGTTCTGCAGTAACTGGTTGGCGCTGAGAAAAAAGGAAGGGCAGAATCTGAATGAGTAAAGCTGACAAACCACTACTTCCCTACACAGAAAAACCAGACAGAGAACATTCTTACTCTGTCTTTGCTGCATCGACAGACAGATGATGCGGAGAGCCCACTGGTGAGCAAGGAGATGGACATGGAACTGGCGGGACAGTAAGGGCCAAAGCTGCAGCTGGAGCAAGCTGATCCTTAGTCAAACCAAGGAATCGGTTAAACCTGTGAAAGACAACAAAACAAAGTAATATTCAATGAACATCAAAAAAAAAATCTCAAAGGTTTGCTTAAAAAGAGAGAAAATGTCTCAAACCTCTTCCACACACTGCTTTGTTTGTCTTCTGGGATTTTTCCTTCCTTAGCGACCCTTTAGGAGGGGAAATGGATAGGTCAGTATAAAAGAAACCAATCTGGGATCATCTATATCCTTCTGAATAGGATTAACAGAACAGGCTGACACTATCAATACCAATTGCATCTCGAAATGCCTCACACATGGAACCTGGACTAAACAGGCACAAATTTGCATTATGCATTGTACTGTTTTGATTGATACAGAGTATCATGGGAAACGTAGTTAAACAAACCTAAGAGCCTGAGAACGCCGAACAGCTTCCTGTAGTTCAAACAGTCGTTCTTTGTACTGGTTCTTCTCCATGACCACACGAGCCATCTCAGAACGAGAAAAACGACGACGTGAGCTAGGCAGAGAAGACTAAAGAGGAAAGAAAAAAAAGTCAGGGATGAAAATTACACAGAATATCTGATAAACCCTAGAGCTTCCAAACTCAGTCCACCCTTTCATTCGACTGCAGCTCACACCACACCTGAACAGGTAATCATAGGCTGCAGAACTCATCTTGCTGAAATGTACTGGGGCAAAGAACAGATCTGGAGCAGTTCTGTATAAAGGCAACTGATTGAAATACACTACATTATATGACCCTCACACTTACAGATGTGTTTTTTAGTGGTTCATTCCACTTTGATGGCTTATTATGATTATATAGACCGAAATTTGTATCAAATGTGTTACCATAGCACAGAGTTCACAGTTTTCCATTAAAATCATGGGGTTTCTCAATATATCTGAAAACTACACAGCAGCTTAGTTTTGTATGTCATGAATGAGACTGAACTTGTCACAGTCTAACGTATAGAACATGCTAATGAGAGTATGAGTGGATAAACCTGGATATTTGTGTGTGGAGCTGTTCGTTTAAATTATTTTGCTTCAATATCTTTGTTAGGAAGTTAAGACTAGTTAAGAAGCTAGCATTAGCTTAGTGAGAAGACAAATTTATGCAGGTTTATTCTGGCTCAGTGAAACACCATTGACGTGCTGTTTAGAGAATGAAAACTCAAAAGTCAGCAGGCAAATCTATGTTTTTGTGTGTGGAGCTGGTAGCTTAAAAAAAATATTCTCACACAACAATGCACACTTCGACAGAAATATGAACATGCACTCACATCAGTGTCCTCAGCCTGGAAGGTCTCCAGCTCTTTACGCAGTCTGTAAAAATAAGTAAGAAACACAAGCATGAACAAACAGAGGAAGATGCTATAACAGAATTACTCTAAAGACAACGTAAACCAGGTAATGGGCCTCAGATCATATATAGACTGGTCTCAGTTGAATTTCATGTTAGAGCTCAGTGTCTCTCAGGCAACTAGGATAAAAAAAGTGCACTTCAACAAAAGCCATTTTCCCTATAGCTCTCACCTTTATCCCTCAGAGACATCCTCATTCACTCATTTTATACCCATGTGAGCTAATACAAAGCGCCACTATTCCAAAACAATATAGCATGCAAACATAAACAGTAGCGTCATGGACTTTTACTTGATATTTGTAATTTTCATTGTATGAGCACAAATCAAAAGTATCCATTTTGAGTCCACTGTTATAACTGTATATATAGTCATTGTATACATTTACTGGCTGCTTTATTAGACATGTCTACTATGTTGGAACACCTTGCAGATGTACAGTCATCTTTTACAATGCACAGTGTGTGTTAGTAATCACCTTTACTAGTCGTCATTTTTGACTACAGGACCACTGCTGGCTGGATATTTTTGGTTGGCAAACTATTCTTAACCCAGTAGTGACATTAAGGTTTTTGAAAATGCCAGCCACACTGCTTTACCTGATACACCCTTAACAGTCCCACACACAAGAGTCAATCTCTGCTTGAGCACATCAGCATACAAAACTTGTCTTTTGCTTTGACACGAACTCACCAACATATTACTATTACCATGTTGAAATCAATGCTGTGAGAATGGTCCACCACAAATAAATAATATCAAGTCAGCAGTGGTCCTGTGGTGACTTCTTTCCATCGACAGACAGGGTAGAAGGTGGCTGATATATTGTGCGGCCAAAGATGGACTACAGTCTGTAACTGTAAACCTACAAAGTGCATCTATATAGCAGGAGTGCATGACTCAATTGCAAATGAATGTAAATATAAGATAAACGTAAGAAAAAAAATAAATAAATAAAACTCGTAAGTCATCCATGTTTGATCAACATGACTAGTAATGCTCATTACCGCTTGGTCTCGTCTTCCATCTCTTTGTTTTTTCCCTTTAGTCGGGCAATGGTTTCTTGGCAGGATGCGAGCTCAAGGTTCAGAGCAGATCTCTCATTGGTCAGTTCTTCTACACGTGAAATAAGAGCCTTTCGAGCAGTGTCCACCATCTCACTGATAGAGAAAGGGGGGGTGGGGAGAGAAGCAGAACACTGAGCTATATAAGTGTATCCTGTTATTTATGCTCATAGATAGTTGCATAGCAAAAGTACAGAGGTCATTAGAAAGTATCACTGTGAAAAGCATGGTTTTAATGCACTATCCTTCATCACACTAGGAATTACAATTATATCATGGTCAGTTGCTGTAAATGTAAAGAATCTTTAAAAACTGGAAGCTGACGACCACAGTATAAATACTGTAAATTAACTACAACTTTTCCAACTGACACTTTTGTACTGCACCACTGGCAAGCTGTGGACAAAGCTACTCAGACAGAAGAAAGCAATGAGGGGCCGACTGCTTACTGCACATAGCACAATAAAAAAGGACTGCAGTGCTACTTAAAATAATGAAAGTAAATAAGGTCTTACTGAGTGTGTTTCAGTTCCTCAAACTGTGAAAGAATCTCTTCAAACTGGTCTGTACTGCCTGCACAAGAGCCACAAGAGACAAGAGTTTTAAAAACCACACCCAGCTATGACAGACAAGTCTCAACATTTCAATATGTCAAAACTTCAGTTTTGCTTAGAATGGGCAACATTCATCAACCAATCTTAAGAAGAAATTTCTTCTTAAAACCCAGTTATGCAGTTTTCATGAAGATTCTGACATTCTACAAGATTTTCTTATTTAGAATTTTGTCCTAAGTTAAGAACAGAACCGATGCGCACTCAAGGGCACAAACCTGAGAACAATTCTGGGGTTTAGGAACAAATTTAAGAAAAACTGATGAAGATATGAGTGAATAAGGCCCAATGATTTGATTTGATTATATTACAATTCTCAAATAACAATAATTAGAATTAGCTCTAATTGATTCAATCCATTTGATTCAGCACTTTCAGACTGATGCCTCTCAATGCATCAATACATTTTACACCCCTAACATGCAGAGGCACACACACACAGACACACCCACCTCTCACACTGACCCCCTGGTCTACACTCTCTGCATACTCTCGGCTGAGTTCTGAGAGCTCAGAGAAGACGGAATCTGTGTTCCTCATTATCTCCCACTCCAGACTATCCAGGTTCTTTTCGTTCTCCTTGTCCTCGCTTTCCTCTCCCTCTCGCTCCTGCTCTTCTTGATCATCCTCCTCTGCCTTCTCCTTGCTCTGACACACCTCCTCCACCAGACTGTGGTTCAGTCTACCTTCTCCTGCTCGAACAGGAGTGCTGAACAGAAAAAGAGGGGTGCTAATAAAACTGTGCATATGTGTACATAAACCAGAGGCAAGTTTTATGTCCAGTTCAATTAAACACTCATTATACTACAGGTAATAAAACATTGGCTTGAAGTTCACAGGTTAAACCTCAAATGCTTTTATGTTACTACAAGATTTCAGCATTTTTATGGACTGAAAAGTCACTGTGGTGTGTGATTCTGCACCTTAGTGAAAACCTGAGATACTGTAACACAGTAATGACTATAGCCATATATCAGACTGTACTACAAAATCTAAAATGAACATTTTCTCTGCCCTTACAGCACATTTCCTTCAGTACCTATGATAGCATCCAAAGGACTTTTTACAAAAAATGTTTAACACTTCAAAAAGTTTGTTGATATAAGCTATAAAAATGTAAATTGTCTGTAATACTTTAAGAATGTTGACAAAACTTTCAGAGTGTTTTTAGAAGGAATGCTGTCACATTTCATCACTTAAAAGGAGATGTCCAGAAAGGCTACAGCCTTTTTAATTGAAGAGTGCTCAAGCAGTGGGATGTGGCAGAGAGAAGTGATCTCTTGTTCCGATTACAAAACAATAATAAATAATACAATAAAAATTCGTCATCAGTTTGTTATGGGGAAGTGCGGGAGGCCAAAAGGCGCATATGTAAAATCAGGGATGCAAACACAACATTTTTAAATGATAAACCAAAACGTATGTGAGAACTTTTTTTTTTTAAATAAAGTAAAGCAAAGCATAAAGCTTAAGTAAAGCACTTTTATTACTAAAAGTTAGTATGATGGAAACAAGCTGCTGGGCAGCAAAAATCAGACAGAAGCTCCTACTGCTTACTGAGTAACTAGATCAAGGGTGCACAACTACAGTCCTGAAGGGGCAGGGTCCAACACTGTTTGGTGATCTTGCTGCTCAAACGCACCTATTTAAACTTCTCTGTTAATTGGCAGGTTTAGTGGGTTTACTTGAGTAGGGAAACCACCAAACTGTGCAAGACACTGGCCCTCCAGGACCAGAATTGTGCACCTCTGAACTAGATTAATCAAATGAATGGCCACGCACTTTGAGTAAGGAAGAATATGTAACTTCAAACAAGAAGACAGATGCACAATGATATTAGGATTATATCATTATCGACAGATATTTGCTTAACATATTACATTGGCATTGAACAGAAGATCCGATCTAACTGATATTTTAAACTGATATTTGATGATGTTTTTATTTCACTCCAGAATGTTTAGGTGATGATGGAACACTGTGCTTAAATGTCTGCATATTATTATTTTTATTGCATTTTCAGCCCTACAAAAATAAATGTTATATTTCTCTGTAATGCTGACCTAATCCCAATTCCTACATTTTATAAATGTGTACATATCGGCAACAGCATCAGTAGATATGTAACAGGAAAAATGGGAGAAAAATAAAGAACTAAGTAACTCAGTTAGTTAGTTAGACGTATAGTTAGCTAGCTAACTAACAAGCCAAATAAAACCATAGTAAATGACTGGACATTGTTGTACCTTGCTTCAACAAGCCCTTGAAACTGAGCCAGCTCAGGGGTAGAGCTTATGATGTCATTGATAAAGGACGGATCACTGAGAGGCTCAGCTATGATCACTTTGCTGTCCTTGGTAGCTGCCATTTCGGATGAAGTGGGGTCAGAGGCAACATCAGGTGTCAGCTCATGCTACATCACAGGGAAGATGGGAAAAGGAAAAAGGGAGCAGTGAGAAACGTTGGTTTCATATGTTGAACATTATAACTATTAAATAAAATAATATAAAATAATTAGATGGAAGGTGATATTAGTTTAAAAGTGGTTCCAAACTCTGGTCCTGGATTATTCCCTGCCCTGCACATTTGTGTTTTGTTTGCTCTAAACAACTAATTAACAAGCCCTTCCTTAGTTGAAGTGGATCAAGGTTCGGAACCTGTGGTTTAAGTGATAGTTAAGTAATGCATAAACGTACCTGTTGCGTTACTGTGATTTCTGGTTGCCCAGGATTGGATGGAGCCTCTGTGCTTTTGGAGCGAATGCGATTCCTACAAGCAAAACACTCAACTCAAACATTGCTCTTAAATGAACAATTAACATTAGCCCATAATGAAATGGTAAAAAAATGAACACTTGTAGTACTGTAGAATATGAAACATCATGGATACGATCCTTCTAGGAAAGTGTTTTACTATCCCGTAATGGCTGAAATGACATTGAGGGTTGCTTCCTGTTCTTATGTATGCAGTCCTACAGTTAAACATTAATATGCAACACACGCTTGAAATGCATAGAGTGTAAGAACCAGCATGCATTTTGACCAGTAAATCAAATGTATAAAATGAATACATCTATGACTCAGTCAGGGATTTTTACTCAAAATGCTAAAAAGAGGCTTGTGAGGAATCTAAAATAAAGAAGAGGAAATTAACTGTGTCCACTCATCTCAAGTAGGAGGGAACAAATAGTGGTTGGCACTGTATAGTCAAAGGAAGATGAAGTAGATTAACCTTAGAGGGGACCCTTCCCTCTCTAGCTCCTTTTTCTTCTCTAGCAAATCACGATACGTCAGCACTAACTGCATAAAAAGACAGAGAGACAGAGAGACTGAGAACTGAAACATGCAACTGTAAATGTGTATGAAAATGAGAACAGCAGGAGACTGACCTTGTTATGTGTATGTTTCAATGTGTTTAATTCTCTGGTCAAACCCGCTTTCTGCTCTTCCAAAGCCACCACTGAAGAAAAGAATAAGAGAAGCACATGAGTAAGACATTAATCACTATGGTACCACAAAGACAAGAGCCTAAATGAGCAAAAATATGAAGGAAACTTTTAAAATGCTTTCTTCTATATACTGATTACTGAATTCGTTTTTATATATATATCAAGAACTCTAGAAATCGTTTGCAAACATCTAAAACATCTTTTAATTATTTTTAAAAATTTCAACGCCATTCAGTTCACACCTGTCAAAAAATGCAATCCATGTGGTTGTGTGTATGTCTATAAACATCACAACTGCATAGACCAAACAGAAAAGTGTGATCAAACAAGCTTGAACATTTACTGTCAATAAGTGTAGCCTGTATTAACAGCCTTTTCAGCTCAGAGCTCTCCATGAGTATTTGGTTTATCTGCTGGTCATTTCAAGCAAATAACTAAAATCCTATAATGGAGTTCATTAGATTCAGCTAAAAGTAATTAGCCAATGAGTTTAATCAGGTAACACAGCAGGGAAAACACTAAACTGTGCACTGTGCACTATATACAACAGCTGAACTTCCTCCTAAGGTATGATTTTTGTCAAAACCTATATTGCTATGCCACAAATATGCACAGATAAAGCAATGTATATGCCTGCAAAACATGCTAAGGTTAGTCCATTTAGAGGAATGGCTGTGTGAAGGATTTTTATATTTGTGTTTCAAGTGTTTTTGAGGCAGCAGACATAAGAAAGCAATATGAAAGGAATGGCCGGTCTAGCATGGACAAATTGTGTTTCGTCTTGCGCAGCTGGGCACTGCCTTGTTGCAACGTTGCAACAAGCTAAAGATCAGCTGGTACTGAGAGCATGACTATCTGTATGTATATTTAAAGGGTTTTGTAGCAAATTGAAAACTTGCTTTGTTCAAAATGGGTACAAACAGATATACAGCATTTTGGAATGAAACCCGTCATTTATGAACTTCCAGCAGAAATCTGAACATGAATTAACACTTAGCACCAGTCCAGAGAAGGTGTTACATTCTAATGTATGCGCCATAGGCTTATGTAAATATTGTTCAGTTCTGTTTTTACTATTTTGCACCAAAAAAAAAAAAAAAAAAACTTCAGACTACAGATTGGGCAGTTGTTAAATGAGATTCTTTTTAAAAGTGAAGGGACATCCCAATGAAAGTCACACTTAACCTACAAAAATAAGTATACTTAAACATTGATCTATTTGAAAAAATACATACACAAAAACAGACTATAGCGTGATATATTACAAAACCACCATAAATTTAAATAATAGATAGAGATTTTTGCCCATCCTGCCCACTGCTACTGCGCACGGCTGTGGCCCTCCAACACTAAATGTGTACACCTAAACCCCTCATTTCTGATATTCCCAACTTGGTGGAGAAACTGACTTAAAAAAGGGAAAGAGGTCTCACATTGGTCAGCTTGCTCTCTGGCTTTCTTCTCCAGCTCTCTCTCTCTCCTCTCCCTCTCCTTCTCTCTTCCACGTATTGCCCGCCTTTCCTGCTCAAACTGGTCATCTAGCTCCAGATAGCGCTGCAGAGGTAAGAAATTAATAATGATTAATGAACTAAAAGACAACAGTGAACTACACATTAGCAAACAGACATTAACTGTATCCATTTTGGAAGAAATATTATAGAAATACTCAAATAAATACTAACTCATCTCATTTAATGTGCCTGGTTCTACATTTACAACTCAGGCTTGCACTGTAGTTTTTGCATATGAGATTAATGTTAACAAGGTTAATAGTGACCAGCCAACATTTTTACACAGTGTCATTAAATGTGAAGCACTACTCTTATGACGGTCCCTTGAGGAGAATATTCAGCCTGCCAAATCTGTGTAAGTGAATTAAAATGACAACGCGGACCGCGGACGATGCTTTAAAAGGTGATATTTGCCATGTAGGGAAAGAAAACTGACAGACAACTTTAGAACTATATTAAATCTGTTAACGTTAAAAAGCCTGTAAGCTAAAGACTATGGTGAATGCAGCTGCAGAGGACAGCGTTTGTGTTTTACCATTGATCTGCTGCTCCAATTGTATGAACTAGGGGTGGGGGGGGTCAATTCTTAGATGCATCGCGATGCGGACATGAACGATTCTGAACCAATTCACAAATGTCAAAAATCAATTTTCTAAATTTTAATTTATAAGGTAATGTTGACGGAACGCAAAAGGCGGAACTTGGAAGTTGGGAAGTGCAGCACCCGGACAGTCTGTGGCGGCACATAACAAAAACACAACTGGATGAGCGAGAAATCCGACCGCCACCCTCTGCATTAAAAGCGAGGTTAGGTCAGGAGTCACAACACAAATGATAAGAGACATTTTGTCCTTTCAACAAAAATCAAACCACCTTGGGAGCCACAACATTTAATGTCCAGTATGTCTCAGTATGTGTTAATGTCCTAGTATAGGCTAAAAAATCAAAATGAAAACGCAGATTTACTTCGCTCTGCTTTAAGATTTAGCTATAGCCGCTTTTCTTCCATCTCCGCCAGGAAACATTTCCTCAAAAGTTGAACAGTTTCTTGTAAAATGTCTCTCAACGTTCGACTGTTTTACGAGGCTGAAGTCGCTTCTCACTCGCCAGCTCTCTTGTTCGAATTTTCCTGTTCCACCTTAAATTCTGACTGAGGCGCCGAATGTAAATACGGCACCATTTAAGGTGGAACAGGAAAATTCAAAAGAGAAGCGACTTCATCTTCGCAACTTTTTAGTGTTTGACAGTCTCTCGTTGCAGATTTAACATACCAGGAAACCAACTGCGCTGCTTATAAATGCGTTCGTCTCCAAATGTTCGTCTTAAATCTTTCTCTTTGCCTTTTCGCAAGCTACTAGCCAAGCAAGACTGCGTTCCTATATGACCTGCAGTCTGCACACCAGTTCTCAGTCGTTGAGAACCAGGGCTTTCGCGCTATGTTGGAGCCGAGATACAGTGTCCAGTCTCGAAGATATTTTACTGACACAGCGATCCCCCCCACTCTCTACAACGAGACCAAAACCGAAGTTATAGGACAGCTGTAACGTGCTGCGTGGACATCCATTGCCACAGGATCTTATGTCAGCGTAACAGCACATTTTATCACAGATGAGTGGCAGCCAGTGTTTCATGTGCTCCAAACAAGAGCAGTGAATGAGAGCCTTCTAGTTCACTTGCCACATCACTTCCATTTGATTTATTAATAAAAGATATTGGAAGTAAATTCATTATGGATCATTACAAATACTTTGCTTTAAAAGTACCAAGTCCTCAGACAGTAGGAAAATAGAAATCCTGTGTAGAAAAAAAAGATGCATCAAGATGCATCGATAATCGTTTTATAGTCGCATCGCAGCCCTCTGAATCGTAATCGAATCGAATCGTGAGGTGCCTAGAGATTCCCACGCCTAGTTTTAACAGGTCTGCACTGACCAGTGCAGGAGAGTGAAAGACACAAACAGCGTTTTGAATCACTGTCTCTAATTTCAATACCATTTAAAACATCTATTACAGTTTTTGGAGGCCAAAACTTTGTGCATCCCTAAAGGTCATTTTCATAAAACTGCACCTTGATGTTTTAAATTCAGCACAATTTCTGGACTCACCTCTTGGCTCTCTCTCCTTAATGTCCTCTCCTTCTCATACCTCTCCAATAAGTCTTCTCTCTCTCCTTTCTCCTTCTCTGCCACCTCTTCCTTCTCTCTCAGCTGTGCTCGGCAGCTGGCCAGTCCTTCCAGAACCCACACCAGGATGGGCAGCAACGACTCCACCACATCAGCCCCATGAGTCTCCACAACCGACTACAGAGAGAGAGAGAGAGAGAGAGAGAGAATTAGAGAAAAAATGAAATAGAGAGAGACAATGTATCATTACTGTCATAACAAATCCTAATATCTCTAAAATGGTAACGTTATAGCCAAGTTTCCAAAAATAATTTTATTTCTTCAAAAGAAAATTGACAAAAAAACTGACAAAAACATATAAGTTATGAGGTTTTGATTTGACAGCGACAATATTCTGGGACCCCCTAACACACACTGACAGAATGACAGACAAAAAGCAGAGTGTATGAGGCGAGAAAAGACAATGTGCTTACCTACTGCACACAATACTACACATATATTTTTGTTGTTTCATTTGAGTCTCTTATCTCCACAGACAGCTGCTATGCCAGGAAGAGTGTTTTACTACTGATGGCACAAAGCCACAGTTCACTTCCTTTACGAAAAGTCAGCAAAGCAGCATTCTCGTCATAATGGTGGATTTGCTTATAAGTAACATGAGCAGTCAAGCATTTATCTACTTAAGACATTCACAATTACAAACAGGCTTGTGGCTGCTTGACATCACTAGTCTAGCATGTGATATACAGGTGTTAAACTGGATGGAGGACTAAAGGTGTACATTTTAATGGGTTACCTGGAGTTCTGAGTACAGTTTTCCTGCCTCCTCGCTTACGATGTCTGGATCCAGTTCCAGTTCCCCGGTTCCACTCAGAAAACTTTCACCACACTCCATTGCTGTTTCTTCTTTTCAGTTTCCTTTTCAATCACTTCTTTTCTTCAAAGCCTGTCTGGACTTCACTCTTCTTGCCTCCCCACAAATTTGCTTTCTTCTCAAGATGCCCCAGTTTACTCTCTCACTGTAGCTAGCATGTCTTGGTCTCTCTTCATCACTCTCACCTACAGATGTTTTCTTTTTCAACTACAGTGTGTACTAATACATATCTTCCTGACTCTGAATCTACAAATACCTACTCAACTAAGAAAATTTGTTCATAAAGCTGCAGCACACTTCTGTCTGCTTCTCTCACAGCCATTCCATACTTCTTCTTGCAAACACTCAGGAGTTCATGCAAAAAATCCAACATGGTACTTCTAGTCTGAGACAAGCCTAGCTAATGTCCGGGGGGGTTTTGGTGTCCATTCTGCAAAAGAGGAACAAATTAATCCCTTTTACATTTCATACCAAGGCACTTCTTTCTTTTGATTTTCATTTTCTGATTCTCAGTGTGTGTCTCATAGCATATACATTGCATGTCCAAAAGTTTGTAGACTCCTGCTCATTCAACGCTTCTTCTGAAATCAAGGGTGTTAACAGGGAGTTTGTCCCCACTTTGCTGTAGTAACAGTCTCTACTCTTCTAGGAAAGACTTCATACTAGATGTTGGAACATCGCTGTGAGGATTTGACTGCATTCAGCTTTAGTGAGGTCAGATGTTGGATGATTAGTTCTGGATCATCATCTCCTTTCCAACTTATCTCAAAGGTACTGGATGGAGCTCCATCACTCTAGGGAACGCAGTTTCACTGCGCCACAGCCCAGTGCTGGGGCCTTATACCCCTCTAGCTGATGCTTGGTACTGGGTATGGTGATCTTAGGCTCGTGCATGGTTGTCCTTTATTGGTTAATGCCTTTCTATAGAGGTTACACAAGCTATTTGTGTACAGCTGAATGTTTATGTCATCAATGGGTGCACCTTAAAGCAGATGAATCCACTAATTAGTAGGAGTGTACGGATACTTTTGAACATACAGCGTGTCTTAGGCCTAGACTTGTAGACACAGGTATTTCCACTTAAGGATCACTGCAGGATTGGTTGAGGATTAGGGCTGTCCTAGAGCATCTGTATGAGTAGTGGATCTTGTAGCCCTCAAATCATCATTTCATAGTTCATCATTGTTCAGCTTCCAGGTCTAGTGAACAATCATGGGCTCAGGCTAAACGTAGCCTTGTTAAGCAGTGATGGATGGTATTGATAAAACACAGCATCATGATATCTTCCCAACATAGCACAATATTAGGTGATATTTAGGCTGTAGTAATAAAGATAAGGAACCCATGCTTCCTGATCACCGATACTCTCTGCCAGGGCTGCAGTCCAGTCCTGGTGTTCTACCACCCTGAAGTAAACATACTTCCAACACACAGAAAAACAAATGTCTAGAAAGCAAATTTATATTTACCTAACTAGTTTTCATGTATTTTAAACTGAAATTAGCCCACTGATATTTACCCAATACCACTAAAGGTGAAAATCCATATTGTTGTGCGACACGAATACCGGGATTCCGATATGGACGATAAATCGCCCAGTACTATAAGTGCTACAACCCAAATGTACTACACTCTGATCCCAAACAGACTTAGCCACCGCTGGCTTCGTTTACTGAGTATATGATTTTACGAAGGTGTTAAGTCGGGTGAACTAAAGAGTAAAGAGCTAAGATATTACACAAACTGGCACTGAGAGCCAGGGGAGGTATAATGTAAGTCAACTGTACGAAGACACGGCCTAAACATGCTAACCCAAACAGAAGCGCACGGCTGAAGACGAAGACACCTTGAACTCTCGCCGTCTGTCTCACTCAGGCGTTTCGACACAGCCAACAGTTGGGACGAAGGACACATACAGACAAAATAAGACGAATGTCACCTCACCTCTAGGCTGGTTCACAGCTTCTGTTCTCTGCGGTAAGTTTCCAATCCTTTGCTCGGTAAGAGCTATCAATTACTCTAAACCAGGTTAGGGAAGAGAAGGGGCGGAGACAGGGCAGTAAGAAGCGTGACCGAAATCACGTTTGGGCCTATCAGAGCAGAGGACTGAGCTCGACAATCAATCAGAGCGAATAGAGGGCTGGAGGGGGCGGGTTTTGGTCTCGGCGAAAAGGGAAAAAAACTTTGTTGAAACTTGAACATCGACACGTGATGAGAATAGGGGTAAGATATGTCATGTGACTAAGGAAACAAAATACTCAATACTTCGTTAGGTTGTTCGCATTCCAGGCTGTCTAGCAATGTTTAATAGGCGGTCAAAGGTCAGATGTGTGTCCTCCTCGGCTGTGTTGTCGGCTGCTGAAGTGGACTTTTTATGCAATTTCAGCACAGTCGCCAACTCATCGTGCTTTACCTGCGGCGGAGGAGCTCCACCGGTGGAGCGTCGAGAAACGGTGGTCACATGAGGCCAGAGCAGATGCCACATCCATTTCGCAGAAGAGGTGAAGTTAAACTGAGTCTCAAAAGTTTATTATAAATAGGTAACACAGCATAATTCTCCCCTTCACAACGAACAAACCGTCCACAGTTACTAACTACAGGATATGCAACTGTCTGGGTCAGAAAAGAATGTAAGTGTAAGAGAAGGTGTATTTGCTTATAACCTGTTCTACGTGGCTATTGTCATTAAACAGGCCATCCACCCTAAGAGGAACACAGTAGAAACCAGGGGTGTAGTTAGGCTATTTGAAAGCCAGCCACAGATAGTTCAAGTTCTAGGGAAGAAGATATACAGTGCACACGTTATGATTAGGGTGCCTGCACTGTAGACTCCTAACATTAAAGGTTTAATCCAGCAAAAATACAAAAAAGTTACTGTTGCTGCATCTTGCTTGCTAAAGTGGTGCCACAAGAGTCTCTAGCAGGACATTTTCCAGTTTCAAGACTAGGGAAACCCCCTTCTGAAGATGTATGAAGGTGAGAGAAACTGCAAAGGCTATTGGGTGGGCTGTTAGTGGTTTTTTTTTTTCCTCTTGCTAACTGGTGAATGCAGAAAGAAGCCAGACAGCTAACTTTTCTGCATGGAAGCCAAATATCACACAGCATTTACTAACTTATACATCAATCAGTCAGGATTTCTTAATTGCAGAGTGCAGATTCTCAGTGGTTATATAATGTATTTGCATAATGTATGATGTGTATTGTAGAGTAAGAACACTGATGGACAAACAACACAAAAAAATACAAAATTGTGAATCTGTCGTCTGTCAAAGCAATGAGTCCGAAATATATAATAGTGTTACGGAATATTACATAACATAAAAAATAACATGCTCATTTTAGGCTGAGATGCCCCTTCAAGCTGCGTCAGGTGAAACTATAAAACAAATCTGTATTTCACATCATATACCAGCAAGAACATATCAATAAAATCACATGATTCATGCCACCTTATTGCTAAACAGTGTATTTAATGTTCTTTCCTTATGTGTGTAAATTAAAGTATTAAAAGAACAAATGACACATGTAAGTATGGATGAGATTTATTAACTGATACACAATTACACAATTAAGAAAAGGCAAACTTAAAAAAACTTTATTTGAGTGAAGAACTAAGCCAAATAAATATGAAATTTGCTATTTACTGTTCAAGGACTGTTTGTTAATAAAATTACATATTGAGTGTATTATAAGTGAGAGGTGATTTGCAGCATTATATTTGAATAAACTTGTTATAGATTTTTTCCAGCAATTTCATTACATTGAATTAGCTGTAAAAGTGGAAAATTGACTGAATAGTTAGAATATTGGGTCATTGTCAGATTTCCAAGTGTCTGGCCGCAGCCTCCCCCACTTTCCATACAGGCAGGGAAGCTTGTGATTGGCCCTCATCACCGCCACACTGATGCAGGAATCTGGCTTCCGTATGATCTCACACCATTCTGGGTAATCTACTGGTTGTGGATTGCTGTTGGGATAGTAGTTAATATATGATCAGACAACAGAAATGAGGTAACATATTACAGTTTTAATTGTTAACATATATTTGCTCAATTACTGAATCTATTTTTCAGAGCAAACCACATTGTGCAGAGTGGCGCACATTTTATTGCTTACGCACAAAATGGATTTTCAACTCCATCTTATACAAATGTGCAGTTGTATCCCAAAGAACGTAACATCCACTTGCTTGTGCTCATGAAAATTCTCCAGTTAGCAGAACACATCTTTAGATCAAAACTGAGAGAACTAGTTACACTTCTAAAATATGCACACGTTATGTAAATTGGGAATGGGTGCAAAGAAAAAAAATAATTTGATTGATATTATAAGGTAATGCAGTAATTTGTTTGAAACTGGGGATAAATATAATTATCTCATTCATAACATGCCCATTATATATGCTGTTATTTTTCTACCTTATTTTACCCTTGGTCAGTGGCATACTGATACTGCATTGATGTACATGATTTTTTTTTTAAGCTTTGTGTTTTAAACATATTAAAGCATTTTGGAAGAATGCACAAAAAGAAGCATGGAATTACTTACTGATCACAGCAGCCTACTCCAAAGGGTTCCATACACACACAGTGGTAGCAGTCTTTAGTGATCCAGCTATCACCAATTCCATACACCTGACCCTGATACTCACAAGTACCTGTGTAGCAAATCATTGTTATCACTAAATGTTACATACATTCAGTGAGAACTAAGTATTCAAATCCATACAGTCCTCACACATATGAGACAGAAAACACATTCCAGCTTGATGCTGAGGCTCCAAACCACTGCAGTTATGAAAATGACCAATGCAGTTTGTTACAGTTAGAGCTCATGCAGTCATCAGTAGTTGTTAATCTTTAACTCCTTGAGAACAAGATGTTTTTACCTGTATTTTGTAAAGATGCATTTTATAGATTATAGATTTTGAGATAGTAACTAATCAGAAGGCTGTTAACTTAAAATAATACACCTAAATTCTTCAACATAATCTCTGTCTGCTCATGTGTAGCATATGGTTGATTACTGCAGACAACAATATTGTATAAGAATAGAAAACCTGTTGGCTCAAAACACACTTAAAATGGAAGCCAAAGGGATGGTGCTGAAGCAGCTGCCCATTGCCATCTATTATAAGTGTGTTTTGTGTCGATGGGTTTTTCTCTTCTTTTCTAAGTAAAGAGAAATGTGGAAATTATTTTCTGTGGTAGTCAATGGTACAATACAGATGCTGCATATAGAGATCAGGTTGGAAATCTCAGGGGTATTTTTTTTTTAAAGTACTAGATTTTGGAATCAAGCTAACTGATATTACAATATTTTCTATTATTCAACACAGTAGTTTACCACACTTTTAGACAGACTCAGAAATGACAGGCAAATTAAGCACATTCACAAACACACACAAGCGGTCAGTTACGGCAATAGGTGACCCGTCTCATTTACCCCATCTTTTTCCTCATCCCCACACAGACATACCTTTAGTATTGAAGGTACATTCTCCACTGCTGTAGACTGATAAAGAGGGAGCGACTGCACTCAGCAGAAACACCACCACCAGCAGTGCATTCTGGGCCATAAAGTGGGCAGCACCCATCTGAAAAACAGTCCTGCCCTTTTCATTTGATTGTTTCAGCCATTGACTCACTCATTACGTTTAATTGTTTCTTTTTCTTACTTATCTTACTTGCTTATGTTTGTTGCTTATCAGATTCAAAACAGATCTTGTTAAAATTTTTTAAAAATGATAGAGCCAGCTGACATTTGGCGTGTGAAATTTAACTGGTGAAGTTCTTAAAGTGAAAGCTAACCTTAAATTATTTTGCCTCTCTTTCAGAGTGTCCTCCTCTGCAGTGTTCTTTTAAGGGTTTCTTCTTTGTTCTCCTTCTCCGTCTCTGTTCTTTCTCTGCGCTCCAGGAGCATCTGGCTGAGTTGTGGCTCAGTGATTTCCAGTATTTATACATTTGTCAGTGACCCTCCTTCTTTACGCACAGGCACACAAAAGGCTCGTTCCTCAGGCACACACACAAAAGATTTCTCCTTACAGTCTCTTTGTATTGTTCAATCACACCATCACACAGTGTTTACAAACATCAGTTTTGTTCCATCTGCCTTGTTTATGATTGTGTGTGTGTGTGTGTTTGTGTGCACGTGCATGCTTGTTCTATAGAAAGCATTAGACTCAGGGTGCAGCTTTAAAGGGTAAGTGTGTGGTGACCATACAGCTGTTTAAACTGTGTGAGATGAATACTAATAGAATCAGTATTACTAGAATGAACAGTACTGAACAGTTTTCTGGCCATTTAGAAGGAACATTTGCATGCGAAAGTTTGAATACCCCCAGCGAAATCATGTTTTGTAGATTTCATAATTGAAAATAGGTCGATACATCCTCTACAGGGAAAAGACTGATATATAACATTTTTGCATGTTTTAGAGCACAATTTCTGTTTATTTTCTGAATTTAACATATTGGAAAAAAAATAATAAAAGCTGAAATATAAAATGCCGTAACATTTGCACAGGCCACATTTATGTTTGTTTTTTTCCCAATATGTTAAATTCAGAAAACAAACAGTTGTGAATTAAATTGTGCAGAAATGTGTTCTCTGTAGAGGATTTCATTTTTTATTTATGTTTGATTAGCAGGATGCCATCCCTCTGCGTCCCTCCTGAAATCGAGCCCTGTGTGTGTACATGTGTGTCTGTGTGGGCATGTGAAGCCATTTCTTGTAAGCCTGTGCTTAGGGCCCTCAAGCCACCAAGCAGCCCCAGTAGTATGTCACCAAACCTCCTCCTGTACATCTACCTTTCTGAAGAGTTCACTTCCAACCCTGACTTAACACACCAGATCTCAAACTTTTGCACAGTACACAGTACTATGTGTATTAAATTTTATATAATATATATACACACTCAGTTTTTGTTAGTCTTTGCCAACTTTGTTTTTTATCAGCTTTTTACCTTATAAAAAATAACATAATAATTTACCTTATAAGAAATCATTAACTATATTGAGTATCACTTGGATGAGTAGTTTCTGATTGTGTGAT